TCTGCTACCTTAATACTAAACCTATAAATGTAGGCTCATAGATCTATTTCCCCATCCTCATATAAATATATTTGCATATGTACATGTCTTTATATCTTTTTATCAAGGAAATTTTAGGTTTTTTAAAAACGCCATGTTATTTTATAAACTCTAGTAAAGGAATTACTAGTAAAATCTCAGTGGTCATTATCAGGAATTCTCAAACGTTAATGTGCTTACAGGTCACCTAGTGATCCTGTTAAGATGTAGTTTCTTATTTAATAGGCATAGATTTGGCCAAAATTTTGCATTTCAAACAAGCCCGCAGATCATGATATTGCTGGCTCAGGTCAATATCTAGACAGCACATCTATAGGCACCTAGTTTGTCATTTGTGTTTAGAAAAATGCAAAATAGTAAATTACTTTTTAGGTTTATGTTTAGGTGGCATGGTGTGTTCCAGGCAAATGTCTCTCTATATGTATGTTAGTTGGCATGCTTGCTTATTGTTTTGGAGAAAAATTGTAGTGTAGCAGTCGGAAAATGGGCTATATTGACTGATTTAAGTATAGTAATTTTAGGGAAGATTATATATGTAAAGGTATTACAGTAGAAACTTTTTTCTGATCCACATAAAAAGTCTTTGAATTTTCAGTTTACATCTATAACAATGCTACCTACATCTTGTAGATGAATTGTGCATATCCATTTGGGTGGGGATGAATTTGTGCATGCTGCATGCACTGTTTTTGCTGATCATACATCAATCACTTTTCTTTCTGGAGGAATCCTGTTGACTTCCCCTTAGATCAGTGGTCTTTAAAGTGTGTCCCCTAGACTAACAACATCAGCATCACCTGGGAACTTGTTAGAAATGCTATTAATATTGGGGCCTCTCTCCAGAGCGATGGCTTTATAAATGCTCGTGGTAGTGTTCAATGCATGTTGACTAGTTAGAGAGCCATAGTCCAAGACTGTAACCTCAGGCCGACTCCCAGCATGGTAGAATGTAGTCCTGGTCCTGTGCGCTCTGTTTACTCACTCACTGTGTCTGCTACCTGACCCTGGCGTGGGCAATGTGCGTCTGCCCCTGGAGAGTTTATGGTGTAGCAGCGAGGGAGGCATTTACTTTCTGAGTCAGGTAAAGATTTAAAGACTTAAGTTTTTTTGGTCTTTTTTTCCCTTTCCCGTTTCCTACTTCCCTATCCAAATAAACCAAATTATGTTTTAAAAAATATGCATTATTTTTCCTCTCTGTAGAAGTAGTAGAGTTAATTTGAAGTCTTGAGCATAGCCAGTGTAACATTTAATTCTTAGCCTTAACTATTGCTTTATAGGCAAAAATATGTATTTACATTTTGTTTATACCGTTAATATGCATTCATATGTATGTAAAGGATGATGCTATTCACCTATTATCTTATGTATTCTTTTCAATATCTCAAGTCAAGAAGATTCTGTTAGGTAGCAGAACAGGGACCAGGGTGTCCATCAGGCGTGGGCCAATTCAGGCCCTGAGCCAGGGTGGTACCAGTCAATGGGGTCAACCAGTACCCTCAACCACACCTCTCCTCTGAAGGCCTCAAAGGCTGGAACTTGGAGACCACTGCCTCTTCCTTTCTACTGCTCCTCCGCTTTCTGCTTGGCCATGCTGTGGTCTCTCTCTGTGGGGGTCCAGTGCTGTGCTCAGGTTGCCACGTGTGTGGGGGTCCGGTGCTGTGTTCAGTTAACTGTAAAACCTGAAACTTCTTCTATCCTTTATAAAAACTCACTTGGATCACAAACCCCTCCTCCACGTGAATTTCTTTATGGTGTGAAGGCAGTGAATCCAGAGATTTCCCACAGAGGAATCTAACAGTTCCAAAGCCTGCCTTTTACAACTCTTCATTAATGAGTTCATGTCAATTTCTTATTTAAGTTTAGTATATTTGACTGTACGGTAGTAATATTTTATATTGCTTATTATTAATTGTATTCTTTTTTATTTTTAGATACTTTTTATTACTGACTTTTAAGCTTCATTGTGCATAACAATGACCTGGCAAGCTAGTTGAAATGCATGTTCCAGGACACACGTTTCACATGCTGATTCAGTGGGTTCTAGATAGAACCCAGAAACAGTGGGACATGTTTGAAAGTTGTTTCTAGTCATGAGTCATGCTTTGAAGCAGTCATCCAACCTAGCCCTGTTAATGCCTTGAGTTATTTTTAAAATCATCCCTTTCAGAAAGACAAACCCAAATGTACAACATTGTAGGGAGATTATAGTTGTATTTGCTTAGCTTAGTATAGTATATATGGTCGAAGCCAGTGGTCCTCAACCTTTGGGTCACGACCCCTTTAGGGGTTGAATGACCCTTTCACAGGGTTCACCCAATTCATAACTAGCAAAATGACAGTTATGAAGTAGAAATGAAAATAATTTTATGGTTGGAGGGGGCTCACCACAACATGAGGAACTATATTCAAGGGTCACAGCATTAGGAAGGTTGAGAACCACTGGTCTAAGCAGTTTCTCAAATTTTTCACTACAGAATCAGGTCAGATGAAAGGTGAGGAAAGTAGTGGAGGC